CTCCTCCCCTGTGTGGGACATGTCTTGGACACCCCGGCCCTAACTTTGCTGCCTTTGATAAGCCTCACCATCTGCAGCTCAGTTCTTCAGCCCTTGCCAAACTTCAGTCTGACAAATGATAAGAGCCTTGGAGACGTCGCTCTGGTGGGTGTGAGCTCGCTGCCAGGTTGCCGCTTCCCGGCGCTCACGCTGGAGATCCATATGGGTTGCTCTGGGGTTTTAAAAAAGCGCATCGCCTCGTGTCCTCCATTTTACCGAAGGAGGTGAATCCGGCTTTGGCAGCAGCAGAAGTACTCAGATTTTTATTTGGCCACAGGAGCGGGCACTGCTAGTGGCTGGGGCTCCCTCTTTTAGACAGAGCAGTGCTGTGGACGAGGCACTGGAGCCGGCTTTACTTCTGCTGGTGCTGTTCCCTCTCGTCTGCACTCGGCATTCCCGGTTTTGGAAACTGAGGCCATGTCAGCCAGTGTTCGCTAGCTGTCAGGTCAGGAGGGTGGCATAGAATTAAACACAGGGCTGTGCACATAGCAGAGATTTGATCCGTTCATGTCTGCAAAGATGATGTCACTGTACCCGTCACGGCATTGACACTGAATGTCATCGTTACTGCACTCAGGAGTGGTCCTGAATGTGTGGGCCAGTCGGCTAAGGAGGTGTTTGCAGACATAACACAGGCTTCCGCAGAGCATGGCTCTTTTCCACACAGGTGAGGAGGAGACAGATTCCCTCATTCCGACAGATACTCGCTGAGTGTGGACCATGCCAGATGCTGTCCTAGAGCCGGGGCCGTGAGCAAACCCTACTCTCAAGGCAGGAGGTGGCCCGTGAAGACAGAAGGAGGCGATGTCAGCCGGGAGGACTTTGGAGAGAAGATAGGAGTATTGGGGGTGGGGAGTCCTAATTTGCGCAGTGATTAGGGAGGGCCTTTCTGCTAAGATGACATCTGGGCCCAGACCCAAATGAAGCCAGGGAGTGAGCCAGTGAGCATGGAGGGGAAGAATGTTCCAGGCAGAAGGAGCAGCAAATTCCACCGCCTTGAGACAGGAGAGGGCCGAGCAGTGGAGTCTGGTGCGGCCAGAAAGCAGCAGGCGGGGGACGGGGTGGAGGGAGACATGGCCAGGGGGTGGCCAGGAGCCAGTCGGTGGGGCCTGGTGGATCACAGCAAGTAGCCTGGGAGCCCTGGGGTGCTTTGAGCGAGGAGGGCATGCCCAGGCTTACATTTGAACAGAGACTCCTTGGCTGTTGTGCAGAGTCAAGTGTGGAGGCCAGAGGACCAAGAGAGAGGCTTGGACTAGACCAGAGTGTGGAGGGGAAGAGTGGGAAGCGGGGTGGGGGTGGTAAGACATGATTGAATTCTGGAAATGGTTTGGTGGGAGGGGCTGATGGGCTTTCCTGGTAGACTATAAATGGGATGTGAGCAAAATGGAACCCAGTAGAATGGATTTGCCATTTATTGGCATGGGAGACGGTGGGGAGAGCAGCCTGGGTTTGACACACCTGAGATGTCTGCTAGAGTTGCAAGGTGGACATGAAACGGGCAGTTGGATATTCAAATCTGGGCTCTGAGAAGCGGCCAGGGCTCAAGGCAGACATTTGGGAGTCATCAGTGGGAAATTGAAGCCACAGGATTGAACCACCAAGATGTCAGTATGGTCCTGAAGACTGAGTCCTAAAACACTCCAGGCTTAGAGATGGGAATAGGAGGAGAACCAGCAAGGGAGATGGAGAAGGAGACTCCAGGGAGGCTGGAGGAGGAGAGAGAGCGAGCTCTGGGAGCCAAGTAGCAAGAGTGCAAGGAAGAAGGGCCATGCAGCTGTGCCAAAGGCGGCTGCGGGGACAGCAAGGTGAGGACTGAGAAGCTGCCCTTGGGTTTGACAAGGGAGAAGTCTTTGGTCACACCGACAAGAACAGTGTTTGTGCTGTAGTGTGGACGGAAGTGATTGGAGAGTTTTGTTTTGTTTTTTGTTTTGAGATGGAGTTTCGCTCGTTTCCCAGGTTGGAGTGCTGTGGTGCAATCTCAGCTCACTGCAACCTCCACCTCCAGGGTTCAGGCGATTCCCCTGCCTCAGCCTCCCGAGTAGCGGGGATTACAGGCATGTACCACCATGCCCGGCTATTTTTTTTTTTTTTTCATATTTTTAGTAAAGACGGGTTTTCACCCTGTTGGCCAGGCTGTTCTCAAACTCCTGACCTCAGGTAATCCACCGGCCTCAGCCTCCCAAATTGCCGGGATTATAGGCATGAGCCACTGCGCCGGGCCTGGAGAAATTTCAAGAGAGGAGGACACATTGGAGATAATCTTGAGAGGGGACTTCAGTCTAGGGGAACAGGTGGCTAGGGAAGACGTGAGGCAAGGAGGGAGGTGTTGTTTAGAGACAGCAGCTCATCCTCACAGGGTGAGCCAAGAGCGAGTAGGGTGGGCGGGAGCACTTCCTCGCGTGTGGACAGGCTCGGCGTCACGTGTGGCAGGCACGTGGCCCCGCCTGACCATAGGTAGGATTGCAGCTATTCATCCCTTGATCCCTTACAGCAGGACGGGAGGCACCTGTCTCATCTGGGGGCGGAGCCAGACCAGCTGCAGTGGGGGTGGGGAATGCGAACGCTGTCTTTCAGTGGTTTCTGTTTTCTCTGTTAAACAAGAGGTAAGGTCGTCAGTAAAGCAGAAGGGGTGGGGGGAGACATTGGAGATTAGGAGAGTGGAGAAGGTGGGAATGGCTGCGTGGATGCGGTATGTGCAAGTGTGGGTGTGAGTGTTGATGTGTGTGATTGTATGTACAAGTATGTGTGCATGTGAGTGTGCACAGGTGTGTGTGTCTGAATATACACGTGTGAGAATGATGGTGTGCAAGTATATACAGGTACGTGTGTGAGTACACGTGCATGTGTGTGTGAGTGATGGTGTGAATATATGCAGCTGTATGAGTAATGTGCATGTGTGTGAATATACGTGTATGTGAGTGATGAATGTGTGAGTATATGCAGGTGTGCATGTGAGTATATGTGCATGTGTGTGAATATATGTGGTTAGTGATGGTGCGTGTGTGAGTATATGCAGGTGTGTGTGTATATGTGCATGTGTGTGAATGAATATATGTGTGTGAGTGATGGTGTGAGTGTGTATGTGCAGGTGTGTGTGTGCGTGTATGTGTATGTGTGTCTGAATATATGTGGGTGTGAATGTGAGTATATGGTGTGTGAGTATATGCATGTGTGTGTATATGAGTGATGGTGTGAGTGTGAGTGATGGTGTGTGTGTGAGTGTATGCAGGTGTGTGTGCATGTATCTGCATGTATGTGTGTGTGAATATATGTGCTAGTGATGGTGTGTGAGTATATGCAGGTGTGTGTGTATATGTGCATGTGTGAGTGAAATTGTGTATGAGTGATGGTGTGAGTGTGTGAGGATGTGCGTGTGTGTGGGAATATATGAGTGATGGTGTGAGTGTGAGTATATGCAGGTGTCTGTGCATGTATGTGTGTGTGTGTGAATATATGTCTGAGTGATAGTGTGTGAGTATATACATGTGTGTGAGAGTATATACACAGGTGTGTGTGTGTGAATGTGTGTGTGAGTGATGGTGTGGCTGTGAGTATATACAGGTATCTGCATGTATGTGTGTGTGTGAATATCTGAGTGATTGAGTGTGTGAGAGTATATGCACAGGTGTATGCGTGTGTGTGAATGTGTGTGTGAGTGATGGTGTGACTGTGAGTATATACAGGTATCTGCATGTATGTGTGTGTGTGAATATCTGAGTGATAGTGTGAGTGTGTGAGAGTATATGCACAGGTGTATGCGTGTGTGTGAGTGATGGTGTGACTGTGTGAGTATATGCAGGTGTGTGTGAGAGTGATGATGTGTGCGGTGGACCATGGCGGTAAAGAGGGATTACCATGCAGCACCTGTCCTGGTGGAGTTAATGGTCTCAAGTTAGGAGAGCCCGGGAGGTGCTCATGGTGTGTTTCTATCGAGCTACCTCAAGCCATTGGATGGGTTTGGAAGAGGCAGTGAGTTGGGTTTACCCAGGTTAGGGTCTCACCCAGAGAGTAGGAGGAGGCAGAGGGGAAGAGGGAATCAAGCATATATGCAGAGCGGCGAAGGTGTAGACGGAAGGGTGAGGAAGGAAGTGAAGCTGGGAGAGGTGGAGGAGTGTGGGGGGAGGCAGGAGCCCAGGGGAGGGCCTGGTAGGTCAAGGCTGTGGGCTTTGGGCACCCAAAGGAGTAAGCTGGAAAGAAGGAGGTGGCTGGCTGCAGCATGGGGCTGGGTTGTACAGAGTCAGCATACCTTGGTAATAACAAGGGTGGAGTGTGAGCAGGGAGCAGTCAGTTTCCCTATCCGGCATTGGGGAAATGGTACCTCCTTCAGGGGGTGTGGGAAGATTCCCTCACGTGGCTCTGTGCTTTTTTCCTTTGAGTGTAAGTAGTGTAAAGGCAAGAGCACAACTGGGTGCCCCCGTGCATCCGTGGGGCTTATCCGAATGCTGGGCGTGTCTGTGCGCCCAGTGAATCTCATTTGCTGAATTTGGAGAAGTCTCCACAAAACTTTTCTGTGATATCTTTAAAAAATTTAGAGGGGTTGAAATATACAGTCATATTTTCCAGCTCCTAGTAAAAATAGTTTGCATATGGCTGTGAAAAATAAAAATTGTACAAGTCCAGCTATGCCAGAACTGTAGTTTTTAAGTATCAATTAACAAAAAAGATTTTTTTCATATGGCCTTAAAAGGGAATGAATTGTGTATGAGACATTGCTTTACATCAGAAAGAGATTTTTTAAAATTACTAAGACCATTTACAGAGAAAATTGCCTTGAAAACATTCAATAAATGCAAAATGTTCTTTTTTCCATACACATGTCATTTTTGCAATGCCTACCACTGTGAGTCTTTGAAAACATTTTATTTTATAAGAAGTATTAAAAAAAACTTTCACATTTTTGTTACCATGTGGTTTCTAACACTAGATCTTTTGACTGTTCCTAAATCACTTTTTATACGTAGGTTTTCAAAAACATTAAGACTGTTATGAAAGCCTTTAAGCTCATTGATGTTAACAAGACTGGACTGGTTCAACCGCAGGAGCTAAGAAGGGTTCTGGAGACCTTCTGTTTGAAGTTGAGAGACGAGGAATATGAAAAGTAAGCAAATGAAGGCGCGGTGAGAGATTGCTCAGTAGAACTTTTAACCAGTTTCAAAATGCGACCTGTTGGGTTCATTGGCTCCTTCCGTCTCTCATCCTCTCCCCGCCACCCCAGCAACCTTATTTCCCAAAGAGGCGCTCACTGGACATTCTCTCATGTTCCTAAAGCTCCCCATGAATTCTCAAAAATGAGAGCTAATGGTTCTGATTCCTTAAGCACCCTTGGGGTACATCCTCTGGCCTCCAGCTTTGAACGCATCCAGGTTATTGGAGTGATCCATCACCAGTTGTCTCTTTCCCCACTTGGCACCGTGCCCCCCCGTCCCGCGTATTTCTAGTTCCCTCTTGGTTTTTACTCAGAGCCTGGGATTAGGAGAAGAATGACAAATGTCGGTACTCCTGTGTTCGTTGCTGTGCTCCCTGCTGGCTCCGCATCCCGATGCAATAACCGAGGCTTCATTTCCCTTTGAGGACTGCTGTTGCTGAGGTGGGGGGCGGGGTGCAGCAGGAGGATGATGAACAGCAGAATATTTAGCTGCCTCGTGGCATTTGAACACCACCACCACCTGCTCCTGAGTCCTAGGGCAGCACGCAGAAGCCTGCGGGCATTTTTTTTTTTTTTTTTTTTTTTTGAGCCTTCTGTAAACTCCAGATCATTTAGAAGAAGCCAAATGTTCGGCCTCTGTGGCTACCTGGGTTTTGAGTGAGAGCCACTGGAAGGAGGGCCCACGTCTGGCTTCATTTTGACAGTACCCCACCAAGAGGTCCGTTCCTTCTTCGTGCCTTTTCCCAAACCCTTTTCTAAGGACCCTCCAGACCATTACCAAAAGCACCAAGCCTCCTTTCACCAGGAGCCCAAGCTTCTCGCATGGCACTGGTGTTCTAAGTTGCTGTGAAAATGGGTCCCGGTGGCTCCTTGCAGCTCATAAAGGCGACGTGGCTGCTGCTGGAAGCGGAGTGGAAGAATCTCCTGGGGAGGCAAGGAAGTCTAGAGGGCATGCGACATGCCACTGAAGCTGCAGGGTCTGAAAGTCAGCAGGCAGACTTTTAAAAAACGACGCCTCCTGCTCTTGAATATCTTTTTCTTCTCTTTTCCTCTTTATAACCCACCTCAGAATATAAAAGACATAATAGATGTTTTAATTTTTACATCTTTTCCGGCTGGGAAAGTCTCCAGAATAAGATCCAAACAAAACAAATTAAATAATTTTGTGCACGCAATTATAGAACAGAGGCAGCACTCTTCTAAAACAGGCAATCAAAAAACAAAACAGTGTTTTATTTGACAATAAACCTTGTGTTTGGTACTGCAGTCTCCAACCTAGTAAATCTATAAAAAATGTTACTGTCTGTTTCCCCATCTCATAAGTATTGAATAATAAAGAACTCCACAAGTTTTTATTTGAGATTTTTTTTAAGCCTCAAAAACAATGCTATTTTCATGATAAGGCTTGAGAAACTCAACATAATAGAATTGCTTTGCTTTAGACTAAGAAACACAGAAGATCAAAAGTAAACCATTTCTTCAATTGCTTTAATGCTTTTCTTATTGAAGCTCAAGAATACACTCTTTCCTGGAGAAGCCGCTTCAGTATTAACTTTGTCTTTTTTTATTTTTGAGCAGGAAGCACAATACATTTTTGAATCCTTTCTTTTATCTAACAGCTTTCTATTTCATATCAACATTCGGCTCTTGGTGTGGTGGAAATGGCCCAGGCTTTGAAGTCAGGCTGCTGGAGGTGAAGTCGTGCTCTCGTCCCTGGCTCTGGGGCTTCAGGATAGCTCCTGAGCCTTGTCACGACTCAGTTTTCTCTTAAAGAAATGGGGACTGGCTGGGTGTGGTGGCTCATGCCTGTAATCCCAGCACTTTGGGAGGCCGAGGAGGGCAGATCATGAAGTCAAGAGATCAAGACCATCCTGGTCAACATGGCGAAACCCCGTCTCTACTAAAAATACAAAAATTAGCTGGGCATGGTGGCACGTGCCTGTAATCCCAGCTATTTGGGAGGCTGAGGCAGGAGAATTGCTTGAACCCAGGAGGTAGAGGTTGCAGTGAGCTGAGATCGTGCCATTGCACTCCAGCCTGGGTAACAAGAGCAAAACTCCGTCTCAAAGAAAAAAAGAAATGGTGCTGGCTGGGTGTGGTGGCTCACACCTGTAATCTCAACACTTTGGGAGGCCAAGGAGGGCAGATCACGAGGTCAAGAGATCGAGACCATCCTGGCCAACATGGTGAAATACTGTCTCTACTAAAAATACAAAAATTAGCTGGGTGTGGTGGCGTGCGCCTGTAGTTCCAGCTACTCGGGCGGCTGAGGCAGGAGAATTGCTTGAACCTGGGAGGCGGAGGTTGCGGTGAGCTGAGATCTTGCCACTGCACACCAGCCTCGTGACAGAGCAAGACTTCGTCTCAAAAAAAAAAAAAAAAAAGAAAAAGAAATGGGGACTGAGCAGCCCACCTCTCAGGGCTGGATGAAGACTCAGCATAATGTATATAACACGCCTGTGATGCACTTGCACATAGTGGGGCTAATTTCATGGTAACCATCTCATCATCATCATCCATGAATGCCCTTTGCCCTGTGATGCCGTTTCATTTAGACCACAGAATACTGTCCAAACCGTAAAACAAGAGGCCAGAGAGAAAATCACCCCCAAGCCTTCTACTTAATCAGAATATCCCCAAACCCATCAAGTTTTCTATTTCCTTTCCCATCTCCCTACAGTCTACACTCTGCTGCCCTGGAGGCCAGCATGTTTGATGTAGGTGAAATAATTTATGAGCAGCTTTGCAAAACCAGCAAACAAATCACTGCGGAGCAGCCTGTTGCCTGAGCAGATGACTGAAGCCCGGTTCCAGGTGGTGACGGTGGAGAGGTTTATGAGCTGATTGGAGTCATACCCTTCTCCCCTCAATTAGGCCTTCTGGTTTCTCAAACTTACCACCTCATTTTCACAAGACAGAGACCGTGGATGAAAGATGAAGCTGTTTAGGGAGTTTCAGTGTTAACATCTGGCAGCTATCACACCTAGAGATCATTTATCTTATTAAAACAATAGGCATGATTCATCAAAGTGGAAAAAAAAAAGGTATGCATTGAAATAACTACATGACATTACTCTTTGTTAAATTTGGAAAACAGAAAATAACAAATACTTTAAGTGATAATTACTAAATTTTTAGAAAGCAGTATGAGATTAGATAATTATAGAAATCAACACATATGGAGATAATAGAACCAAACACTTAAAAACTGTCAATTTTTGGAAATGTAATAACACAGAAATGATCTAGAAAACCATTTATCAAGTAGAAGAATTGAATAAAATAGAACATTTATTTTAAAAATGCAAACATCCTATTTATCTTAACTCTAAAGAAGGTTATTTTGGCCGGGCACAGTGGCTAATGCCTGTAATTCCAACGCTTTAGGAGGCTGAGGTGAGCAGATCACCTGAGGCCAGGCATTTGAGACCGGCCTGGCCAACATGGCAAAACCCCGTCTCTACTAAAAACACAAAAATTAGCCAGGAGTGCTGGTGCATGCCTGCAGTGCCAGCTACTCTGGAGGCTGAGGTGTGAGCATCGCTTGAACCAGGAGGTGGAGGTTGCAGTGAGCTGAGATCACAGCAGCGTACTCCAGCCTGGGCAACAGAACAAGATTCTGTCTCAAAGAAAAAAAAAAAAAAGTATCTCAGTATATTTTAGGGATAGACAGTGGTTCACTGTTTTAAAAATGTCTTATTTTATATGTTACATATAAAAATCACGGAATGCTTCCAGAGAAGCTTTGCCCCCTCCACCATCCGCTGTTGTGAAGCCATATGCCACCTGTGAGCCTCAGTTTCTCTCTGGAGAAAGGGCACGCTCAGTCAGGATCATCTCTGCTGGCTCCTCCACGCAGCTCTCCATTTCCTGGCTTATGGAAATGTTGTGCTGGCTGACTCCTTTCCCTCCAATTATTAAAGGCAAGTGGGAGTGGAGAGGCGGCTGCCATGCAGACAAAGCCCCAGCTCCCGTCCCGCCAGAGGAGGGAGAAGCTCCTTAGATGCTGCCTAGGTTGGGGCATTCCCCAACAGGCCCAGCAACATTTCTGTCTCACTCTGATCTCTGCGCATCCATCTGTGGGCTGAAGAAGTGATCTCGAAGTAGCTGCATTAAAAAAAAAAAAGTCTGACAGTAACATTTTCTGGGGTTTACTTTTTAATTCCCGCTGTGGCTCGAAACAGACATTAAAATTAATGCCAGCCTGAGTGTAAAGGATACCTTGGTAGCAAACTTACCTCATTTTAGATTCACAGTTCTTCATTTCTAAAGAGCATTTGTATTTTAGGTTTTCGAAACACTACAACGTCCACAAAGATACTGCAGTAGATTACAATGTGTTTTTGAAGAATCTCAGCATCAATAATGACTTGAACCTTAAATATTTTGTGGGAAATCAAGGTAAGTATTTTTGAAGTATATAGCTAAAGATTTCAATATCTTTTGGCATGATAATTCCTTTTCTTTGACTCCTTCCTGAGGAAATACTTTCAAATATAGAAAATACATGATCTACGAAGCCAGCCATGGTATCGTTATTTATAAGAATAACGTCAATGCCTAACAATGGGAAAAGGGCGAAGTGAGTCACGGCATAGCCGCGCGGGAGCATCTGCAGCGGGGAACAGTGACTTCCGCGGAGAGCTGATGAATTGGAAAACATTCCAGAATACTCCGCCTGTCCTTAAGTGAGACACCCCTGGGTGCCCACAATACTCCGCCTGTCCTTAAGGGAGACACCCCTGGGTGTGATTCTCTTCTTTCTGCTGCTTCTGTGTTTTCACAATTTTTTCCTGAATGATGGGAAAAATCTTACTAGAAAAGGGCAGATAGCCGAGTCATTTACAGTTGTATTCGACATGCAAAGCCAAGTCGTTAGACAGAACCTTGAGGCAGAGCAAGTCTCCTCGTGCTAACAGCCTTTACCCCGGCCCCCTCGATACAGTGCCCAGGGTTGTCGGCCTGCTGGGTGGCTTTGGAGAGGGCCAGGGTCCATTCTTGAAGGGTGAATGTATGGCTAGTGCAGTCGGATCCTCTCCCTTCCCAGCCTTGGGTCATTTTCCTGGCCTTAAATCAGATTCCCCCTCAGTGGGTTTGGTGCTTCAGGAGTTACTGCCTGTGTGTGGCTGGCTGAAAATGGGTTGTCACCGTCTGGTTTCAGCTTAATTCAGAGCAGCAAATATTCCTGGAGCACCTTCTATGATTCTCAGATCCGTCTCACTAGCAAGCTGAAAAGTGACGGATTCTCAGGTTTCCGCCGGTTTCACTAACCACGCTCGCTTATAGCCGACTCCAGTGCTCGAGTTTCCGAGGCCTCCTGTACCAGGTGCCATGCAAAGCGTGTTCCTGTGTCGTCTCTTTAGAGGCAGGTGCCAATGCCAGGAAGAGACTGAAGTAGACAATCGAACCGAGCCCGCTACCCAGAAATAACCACTGTCCACAGGGTTCCTGGCATCTCTCCATGGCTCATACGTGGAAAGAAGAGCCAGGCAGAAAGAAATGCATTTGTAAAATGGGTTGATGTAGATGCTGTTCTCTGTAAGAATTTACTTGTGCTTGAGTGTATCAGAAAAACAGAAATTTAAATGAAACTCAAGAAAAATGATGAGTACATCCTGGCTGTTTATCTTAAATATAATATCTACAGGACACATTTCCCCCTTCAATATGTTGTAGACTTTGGTCTGTTGTCCTCTGGTACTGAGTATGGCTGTGGAAAATCTCAGGCTGCTTCATTTTCTTTCTTATTGGTGATTTGCTTTCTCTGGCTGATTGCCTAAGAGTCATTTATATTAGAAGTCCCTCCCTCCCTCTCTTGCTCCCTCCCTCCCTCCCCCCGCTTCCCTCCATCCTTCTCTCCCTCCCTCCCTCCCTCTCTTGCTTCCTTCCTTCCTTCCTTCCTGCCTGCCTTCCTGCCTGCCTTCCCTCCCTTCCCCTCCCCTCCCCTCCCCTCCCCTCCCCTCCCCTCCCCACCTCTCCCCTCCCCTCCCCTCCCCACCCCTCCCCTCCCCTCCCCTCCCCTCCCCACCTCTCCCCTCCCCACCCCTCCCCTCCCCTCCCCTCCCCTCCCCTCCCCACCTCTCCCTTCCCCTCCCCTCTTCACCCCTCCCCTCCCCCCCTCCCCCCCTCCCCTCCCCTCCCCTCCCCTCCCCTCCCCTCCCCTTCCCTTCCTACTTCCCTTCCTTCTTCCTTTCTGACAAGGTCTCGCTTGCTCTGTTGCCCAGACTTGAGTGCAGTGGCATGATTGCAGCTCACTGCAGCCTCGACCTCCTGAGCAATTCCAGCACTTTGGGTTCAAGCATTCCTCCCACTTCAGCCTCCCAAATAACTGGGACCACAGTCACGAACCACCACACCTGGATAACTAAAAAAAAAAAAAAATTGTACAGACAGGGTATTAACTGTGTTGCCAGGCTGATCTCAAATTCCTGGGCTCAAGTGATCCTCCTGCCACTACACAGTCCCAAAGAGCTGGGATTACAGGTGTATGCCACCATGCCCAGCCTGTCCCTGAATTTTGGTGGCATAACTGGTATATGTCTTAGTGTTGTGCCTTCTGCATCTGTTTTTCAGATCATAGTATATTTTCAATCTGCAAACTCAGTTCTCTCTTCATTTCAAGAATGTTTAGTGACATAGATCTTTGAACACATCTTTGCTTTTCCAGATTGTTAACTTCAAGGAAGCAGATTGTCCTTATGCTGGATGGTCATTGTTTTTCTTGTCTATGAAATTTTCTCTCTGTGTGCTTCATTCTCTTTGTCTTTTTCCTCTGTATTCACAGTGATTGTTTTAGATCTTTTATCTATACCTGTAATTTGATTTTCACCAAGGTCTGTTCTGTTCTTTACTGTTTCTGATTTACTTACCAGATCAGTAATGTTGTTTCTTTAGGTCTACAATATTATTTTCCATCTTATTTTGTTGGTTTATCATCTTGTTATTAGACTCTCATTTGACTGAGTTTGTGTTCTTACAGAGAGAATCTGTAGAGTAATTTTGTACCTGGAGTTACGTTCTCTTCCAAGGTGGGATCTCTGCCTTGTGTACCTTATGTTCCTCTCCTTCCTTCACTATCTATTCCTGGAGAGTTTGCATACTTTCACGAAAGTTGGGTAAACTGAGTATTTTCTATTCCACATTACTACTTCTATTGACTTTTTATTTATTATTAATTTTTTTGACGCTTGTTCTATGGTGATATGGTTTGGATATTTGTCTCTTCCAAATCTCATGTTGAAATATGATCCCCAGGCCAGGCATAGTGACTCAGGTCTATAATCCCAGCACTTTGGGAGGCTGAGGCAGGAGGATCACTTGAGGCCAGGAGTCCAAGGACCAGCCTAGGCAACATTAGCGAGAGCCTGTCTCTATTTAAAAAAAAAAAAAGAAAGAAATGCGATCCCCAGTGTTGAAGGTTGGACCTAGTGGGAGGTATGTGTCTCATTGGGGTAGATTCCTCGTGAATAGCTTGGTGCCCCCGCCATGGTAGTGAGTGAGTTCCTGCTCTGTTAGTTCACACAAGAGCTGGTTGTTTACAGGTCACAAGCACCTCCCCTCTCCGCCTTGTCCCTCTCTCACCACATGATGCACTTGCTCCCTGTTTACCTTCCACCACCAGTAAAAAGCTTCTTGAAAGAAAACCTAGGCAAGCATTCAGGGCATAGGCATGGGCAAAGACTTCATGACTAAGACACCAAAAGCAATGGCAACAAAAGCCAAAATTGAGAAATGGGATCTAATTAAACTAAAGAGCTTCTGCACAGCAAAAGAAGCTATCATCAGAGTGAACAAGCACCCTACAGAATGGGAGAAAAATTTTGCAATCTATCCATCTAAGAAAGGTCTAATATCCAGAATCTACAAGGAACTTAAACAAACTTACAAGAAAAAAAAACCCCATCAAAAAGTAGTCAAAGAATGTGAACAGACACTTCTCAAAAGAAGACATTTATCCGACCAGCAAACATGAAAAAAACCTCATCATCACTGGTCATTAGAGAAATGCAAATCAAAACCACATTGAGATACCATCTCACACCAGTTAGAATGGCGATCATTAAAAAATCTGGAGACAACAGATGCTGGAGAGAATGTGGAGAAATAGGAACATTTTTGCACTGTTGGTGGGAGTGTAAATTAGTTCAACATTGTGGAAGACAGTGTGGGAATTCCTTAAGGATGTAGAACCAGAAATACCATTTGACTCAGCAATCCCATTACTGGGTATATACCCAAAGGATTATAAATCATTCTACTATAAAGACATGCACACATATGTTTATTACAGCACTATTTACAATAGCAAAGACTTGGAAACAAGCTAAATGCCCATCAGTGATAGACTGGCACATATACGCCGTATACTGTACGGCCATAAAAAACAATGAGTTTATGTCCTTTGCAGGGCCATGGATGAAGCTGGAAACCATTATTCTCTGCAAACTAACACACCATTCTCAGCAAACCAAACACCACATATTCTCACTCATAAGTGAGAGTCGAACAATGAGAACACATGGACACAGGGAGGGGAACATGACACACTGGGGCCTGCCGTGGGGTGGGGGGAAAGGGGAGGGACAGCATTAGGAGAAATATCTGATGCATGCGGGGCTTAAAACCTAGATGACGGGATGATGGGTGCAGCAAACCACCACGGCACATGTAACAAGCCTGCACGTTCTGTACATGTATCCCAGAACTTAAAGTATAATTTAAAAAGAAAAAAAAAAGCTTGAAGCAGAGCAGATGCTGGTGCCATACTTGTACAGCCTGCAGAACCATAAGCCACATGAGCCTCTTTTTATAAATTCTCTAGTCTCAGGTATTCCTTGATAGCAATGCAAAGCAGACTAATAACTAAGGTTTATAATATGCATCCTTGATGAATCAGAACCTACCTGAGTCATGTAGTGATTTATATGCAGCGTATGGATTTTACAACAGTGTTTTCCCAATTCTCTCCCCAAGCTCTGTTATGTTGCTGCCCTACATTGTACTTTTACGTATACCATAAACACATGATATGTTGCTACAGCTCCTGTTGTTCCGCTGAGATTTCCTATCTGTGCATTCAATAGAAATACGCTTTCTTTTACATTCTCAAATGCTGTTATTTTAAAACTAAAAATTTTTAAATGCTTAATTTTATTTTTCTTTTTGAGATAGGGTCTTTCTCTGTTGTCCAGGCTGGAGTGCGGTGGTGCAATTATAGCTTACTGCAACCTCAAACTCCTGGGCTCAAGCAATCCTCCCACCTCAGCCTCAGGAGTAGCTAGGACCACAGGCATGCCACTATGCCTGGCTAACTTTTAAAATTATTTTTTGTAGAGATGGCATCTCACTGTCATGCCCAGGCTAGTCTCAAGCTCCTAGTATCAGGTGATCTTCCTGCCTCA